CAGACTGCGGAGCAAGGAGAGCGCCGTGTCCCTCACAGGCAAGGGCGGCCCGTGCGTGACAGTCCGCCTGCCGCCAGCCCCAACCCACCTCCCACAACACATCAGACCGGAACTTCACACAAATAGCACTCAGGTTTTATGCTCAAAACACCGAGACTCCCGCTCAAGCCCAAGACATGAAAACCACGACTCTCTGTAGCCCAGAGCCCGCGGGGAGCGTTTAAAACGGGCGCATGAGACGGGCATCAGCCTGTGTCAGGGACCCGGCTGCTCAGGGCCCATCGGGCCGCAGGGCGCAGGGCGGAGACCCGTCAGCAGAGCCCGATGCCCCTCCACACCCGGGGTTTGAGGATGTCACTGTGCGAACCCGGGAAGCCGCCAAGCACGGGGAGTGCGGGCCAGGCAACCCGCCTGCTGCCCGGGGAGGGGTCAGCGGTGCGGATTACGGGGGAGAAAAGCCAGTCCCATCGCGCGGGCGACCTCGGGGGGCTCTCCCGCGCGTGGCCCTCCACACACAGCTTAGCGGGTTAGCTCTGCCCTCCAGGCAGGGGTCTGAGCTTGACTCCAGGGAGAGGCGGCTCACCTGCGACATTTGGAAGGACAAAGCGTCACCGCGGGAGCGCTGTTCTAGTGGAGAAACGAGGGCACAGACATTAAACCTCCTCGGAGGAAGCCCCGGACTTAAAAAACATGGCTTACGTTTTTTAAGCGCTTGATCTCTGCCTTCTCCTCCTGCTCCTTCCGTCGCTTCTTCTCCTGGAGAATCTCATCTAAGGTCTTCACTTTCCAAGAGTCCTTTTCATCACCCATTGGAGTGAAGCCACTGCAGGCGGAGGGGGGCCGTCAGGGCCCGGCGCGGGGCCCGCGGAACGGCGGCCGGCGGCGCCTTCCCGCCAACCCGGCTCCGACTCCGGCCCCGGCTCCGGCTCCGGCCCCGGCTCCGGCTCCGGCAGAGCGGCCCGCGGGCCTCCCGGTGCAGGACGGGCCCTGGGCGAGCGCGGCTCCCGCCCCCGGATGGCGGCCTGCGGCTCCGCGGAGCCCCGCGCTCCCCGGGGGAGGGTCCGCGGGGTCGGACCCGGGAGCGTGATGCCCTCGCTGCCGCGATCGGAGGCCACGCGGGCCGAGGGAGCGGGGACGTCGCCCGCCCGGCTCGAGAGCTCGGGAGCGGCCGCTACTCACCCCTGCGCCGCCGCCGCTGCCGGTCCGGAGCCTGAGGAGAAACTGCGCCCGGCGCGCGCCCCGAGCGTCGCTACTTCCGGCGTCGGCGCGGGGTGATGACGTCCGGGGAAACGAGCAGCCGGTTCCGGCCGGAAAGAGGGCTCTTGTGCGTCACTTCCGGCGTCGGCGCGGGATGATGACACGGGCGGCGGAGCTGGCGCCCCCTGGCGAGCTCTTGCCCTGCCCGCGGTGGGCTGGGCGTGGACCCGGCCCCCGCTGGGCGGTCAGTGGTTGGAGGGAAGAGCTCGGCAGGCGGGGTCGGTGGGAAGGTGGTCACGGGTTGGATTCCGGGGCAGGCGCAGTGTTTGTCTCTCCCTCTCTTCAGAAAGCAATTTAAAAACCGGACGGGGGAGGGGGGGCCGGACAGCCCTGGTCGGTTTGACTCAGTGGATAGAGCATCGGCCTATGGACCAGAGTCCCAGGTTCAATTTCGGTCAAGGGCACATATGGGGTTGCTGGCTCAATCTCGTGTGGGGTGTGCGGGAGGAAGCCCATCATTGATGTTTCTATCTCTCCCTTCCTCTAGGAAATTATATATATGTATATAAAAGCCTAAGAGACCATGAAGACCAGCTGCTGATGCACACTGACCACCAGGGAGCAGGTGCTCAATGCAGGAGTGCCCCCTGGTGGTCAGTGTGCTCCCACAGCCAACTTCCCATGGCTGGCCAACCTCTTGTGGTCCCTCCCCCCATTAGCCAGCACTTATCAGCTCCAATAGGGAGTGGGTAAGACCGGCCCTATGGGCCCCCATTGCTGACCAGGCCAAGGGTCCTCACCCATGCACGAATTCATGCACCGGGTCTCTAGTTTACCTATATATAAAGGGGCAGGACGGCCTGTGTAGCTCAGTGGCTGAACATCAAGCTAAGAAGGAGGTCACTGTTCCGCTCCTCATCAGGGGTCGTGCAGGAGGCAGCTTATCATGGGTGTTTCTTTCTCTTCTCCTTTCCTCTCTGAAAATAAAGAAAATATTTTTAGGCGGGGGGGGCAGGAAATGGGGGACATCTAGAACACTCAACAATTTAAAAAAAAGAAGGCAAGGCCAGCAGAGTGCTGTGCCCAGGCCATGGCCCCAAGCCCCACCGCTGCTTTGAGTCACCTGCGGGGGCTTTGCAAGTCCCGAATTGGGGTTATTTTCTCTCTCAGAAGGAAATGTTCAGCTTCTGTACCTGGCAGCTATTTCGCTTCCTGAGTTCTTGGTGACAGGAAGCCATTTTTTCACTCTGCTCGCACTGCAAACTGGCGCCGGCAGCAAGATGCCACCCTTGGCCATGGGCAGCCTGGACTCGCAGTAACCACACAGACGGCAAGGACGGAGCCTTTATTTCACTCTGCAGAACGAGTGTGGCTGCGGGGGCGGCTCCACGAAGACAAAGGACAGGGGTACCACAGAGTGAACATGTTACCACAGGTGGATGGACAGCGATTCGACTACAACCATTTCCGTTTGGGACCATGAACACTGAGACAGGCGACGTGCAGAGCACTGTGGGCCCCTGGGCCGGACTTCACAGCTCATTGGCAGAAAACAGAGGGCCTGGCCCTGACGTGGATGGTTATTTTAGTTAATGCTCGTTCCCAGTGTGGGAAAACCTGACCAGCCCTCCCAGCGTGGAGCCCACAACACCCCAGGCGGGTTCAGACTCAACTCAGACAGCAGTGAACGGTCTCCAAACAGCAGAGCTGCGAATGGCAGCTTTCCTCAAATGAAGACGATGGGGAGTGGGGGGTGGGGCGGACAAAACCCAGACAAACATAAGACTTTGCCAGTTAGAACAGTCTGTAACCCAATTTGGACATCTGGGCTTGGGTCCTGGGGCCATCACTCAGAATCCGAGCCAGCCGCCTGAAGGTTTTCTGTCCTGGCTGCCAGGGGAGCAGCTGACCCGTCTGCTCTTGGCTCCTCACCCGTTCTGGAAACAGATGCCTCAGACTAAGAGCGCGGAGGGGTCCCCACGCACGGACATGCTCTGGGAGAGAACGTTGGTCAAAGGCAAAAGCAGAGAAGAGGATTCTATCTGTAGCGACAGTCTTCATCTTTCCAGCCTGGGGAAACTGGGAGGGTACTTCCAAGCCTGAGGAAGCACATCAGCTGGACAGACGTAAAGAGCCGGGCTCTGTGCCCACCACCGCGGGCCGGGCTGCGTGACCGTCTGCAGGAAGCAGACGCCACTGGCTTTGGGGGAAGCGTTGCGTGCGTGGCCACGGCACAGCTCCTCGGGGGAGCGTTCTTGGAGCAGCACATTTTTTCCTGTTTACTGTTCATCCTGTTTATTTTTTTTCTCAAATTAGAGACATATTTCGGGTTGTGCAAGGATGTTCTCAGCTCCCTAAGGCAGACAACGCTCACGCTGCTGTACAGGAATGATGACTGTTGGACGTTAAAAACACGAGGCTTTCTATGCAGTTCAATAGTGGACGCTTTGAAAGCCAGAGATCTGGACGTGTCTCGGTGTGGCTGGGCGTGAGCCAGCGACGGGCAGGCCTGGTTCCAGGGCTTACAAAGGCACAGACAACGGGACACGGGCATGGCCGGTGGGATGGTGCACACACACCTGAGACCGTTCAGCAAAGACACACTGTAAAAAGGAGACCAAGTTCGTAAAAACATCACGTGTGCAGTCACTCCAAAAGCCGAGCGCGGCTGCGACTGACTCCCGGCGCCCGGAATGGAGACTGTGGCGGGGACCCGAGGAATGGAAGGAATGTCAGCCCCGAGTGAGGGCATGCCGGCCACAGCCCTGACCAGAGGAGTCTCCAAAGCAGCTTTGCAGGAAGTTGCCTCATTTACGAATAATTTAAGAAAATCTTCATTTTGTTTGTGGTCCAAAACCCAGAAATTAAAAACGGGCGGAAAGCCACCGGCGAGTGGAGGGCGGGGCCCGTCGGTCCCTGACGATCCTGGAGTGGAGCCCTTCTCCGTGCCCGTCCCGCCTGGGCTGGGCTCTGAGGGGCAGGAGCCGGGGAAGCAGTGCTTTCATGCTGGTCCTCACAGATCCACGGCCGCTGGCGGGGAGTCCTCCTTGGCTGGTTTTCGGGGAGCAGAGGAGAGGGGACAGAACCCTGGGGGGTTGCAGAGGCATCCGGTGAGGCAGATGCCCCGGCCTGTCCTCGGACGCGGTCAGCCCGCAGAACGGCCGAGCCGTGTAAAGGCCGCGGTGGCTTCACCTTAGGGCAGGCGTCTTCCAGTCGGCAGGACTTCACGCGACGTGATTATTGCTCTGTTCCCAGAGGCGGGCCTCCCGGGAGGCACTGGGGCCTGAACAGCAGGAGGGAGACGGGACGGGGAGCGACGGCCAAGCAGAAGGGACCCCTTCCTGTGCCGTGTCCCCTCCCCACTCCCTGCCAGGCCCCATGGCATGGACTTCCCTGGCCTCTGTGCCCAGGCCCCGGGCATGGTGGACTCTGCTGGCTGGTGTGGGCTGAGATCTCTCCTTCAGCACCAGCAGGGGGCGCTCACAGTGGTCCCCTCTGTGGGGGTGTCGCCCACAGAGGAATCGCAGGGCCTGCTGCAGGGGGAGCTGGGTGCCCAGTGAGGGCCAGGCGGAGGCCGGCGGGTCCCAGCCCTCCGCATCTGGCCTGGGGCTGCTGGGGCAGTTTTCACATTCCATGGTGATGGCTCAGCGGCAGCTGGCTCGGGTCAGCCCCAGGGAGCCACGTTGGGGGGGTGGGTTCCCCATATCCCGCTGGTTTGACTGCAACCCTGAAAGGGGCAGGACAGGCCGCACACGCCCCTCCCTGCCCAGCTGACGGGGGTCGTGCACCTTGAGGCCCGGCGCTCAGTGGTGTGGCCGGGGGTCCTTGGGCACCAGCGGCTCGGTGCCATCCTCCGGCGTCCAGCTGGCCGAGGCCAGGCTCTGCATGGCCTCCCGCTGGTGCTGCCGGGCCTTGTTGTAGAGCAGCACGCCCACCATCACCAGGATGGTGCCCACGGCCGACAGGCTGGTGATTTTGTTGCCAAAAACGATAATGCTGAGCCAGACAGACAGGGCGTGCTTCACGGTGCTGGCGACACTGCAAGACAGAGGAGTGGTGTGTGTGTGTGTGTGTGTGTGTGTGTGCGCGCGCGCGCGCACGTGGCTCCAGCCCGGTGACTGCTGAGCCAGATTACAACCAGCAGAGAGGACAGCTGCCCCGCGTGGCAGCATACACGCCCAGGGACACCGAGGCCATGACAGGGGTGGTGCCATCAGCCCGCTGTTGCCTTCACGCTGCGACAGTCCCCAGGTGACAGCTCGGCCGCTACAGGAGAGCAGCCGATGCACGCCACGTGACGTGGCCAAGCTGCCCACCACGGCTGGAGTTTCTGGCTCATTCTTTTCTGTTTGTCACTGAGATGATGCTTTCATGAAACTCATCCTATGTAATAAAAGGCTAATATGCAAACCACCCCCTTGGGCGTTCGCTCGCTATGATGTGCGCTAACCACCAGGGGGCTTACGGAACATGGCGGGGGACCAGCAGCCGTGGGAAAGAGGAGGCGGGGAACCTGATGGGCCTGATTGCCAGATGGGCCTAGGGACCCTACCCGTGCACGACTTTTGTGCCTCAGGCCTCTAGTCCAGTTGTAACACTGAAAACCAGCTAGCCAGACTTTAACCCTCCAGGTTCCCAGAGCCCGTGGTCACGCGTGGTTTTCGCATGTAGTGGGTGGAAGTAGGTCAAAGCAGGAATTCAGGTTTTCATTGAGCTCATGCATTTCCAGTTCACAGCCACCAGGGCCCACAGCACCCACCGGGGACAGGGTCCTGAGGGCAGGTGAGCCGCTGACCAGCTGCTCCAGGCACCACAGACTCACCCTGGCAACCTCCCTAAAAACCCTCCAGCCCAGCTGGGCGGGGCCAGTGGTTGAGCACTGACCCAGGAACCAAGAGGACATGGTTTGATTCCGGGTCAGGGCACATGCCCAGGTTGCAGGCTGGATCCCCAATGGGGGACATGCAGGAGGCAGATGACCCATGATTGTCTCTCATCACTGATGTTCTCTCTCCCCCTCTCCCTTACTCTCTGACATCAATAAATATATTTTTTAAACAGAAGCTCTTCACATACTTCACGCGTGTGCTTCAAATGGCACCAGAGGCAGTGGCCCGGCCTCCGTGCCCTGGGACTCGGCCGGCACTGCAGCCCTGGCACTTGCAGAGTTTCTGTGAAAACGCAAGCCGCGGGCGCTGCACACACCTCCCGACCGTCCTACCTGAAGGTCACGGGGGAGATCCTGCCCATGAGGGCGTAGGCCGTGACGCTCTGCAGGTGGAACAGCACGCCGTCCAGCAGCAGCAGCAGCAGCACGTCCTGCGTGTAGCTGAAGCTCCTCCCGCTCCGCCCGAGCACCGGCAGGTCCTGTGCGGAGCAGAGCGGCGCCCACGCCCCTCAGGCCGTGCCCGTCACCAAAGGACCTCGCCCCCGATGCCCAGCCACGGGGCGGGCGAGCTGAGGCTGAGGGGCTGTGACACCTGCCTTCTGGGTGGCGACCAGAGCCCTCGGTCACGGGGGACCGCAGCCCGGCCGCAGGGAGGCCCCTCCCCACCGGATGACGACGAGAGCCAGAGCACACGCTGGCGAGGCCGGGCAGAGGGGGGCTGCCGGGCACAGCTGGTGGGAACGGAGCCAAAGGGTGCAGCTGCCGAGTGGCTGCTCCTTGAACGTGTAAACGCAGGCCCCTGCGGGGGCTCGGCTGCCAGGGCACCGGCCCGGGCTCCGGGGGTCGCCGGGTCAGTTCCCCATCGGGGCACACGCCCAGGTTTCGGGCCCGTCCCCAGTGTGGAGCGGGCAGGAGGCCGCCGACCCACGTTCCTTTCACATCGCTGCTTCTCTCTCTCCCCCTCTCCCTTCCTCTCTCTCTCAAACCAATTTAAAAAACATTAAAAAAAAGAAAGAAATGAAACTAAATCAGTCTAAAAACCGTCACAGGAGCAGCTCAGGAAACCCCCGCCGCTGCAGCTGGGCCTCGGAGACCAGCGCCAGGCCTGGCCCCACCTGTCCACCTCCTCGGGCACGCGGGGGCACTGCGCCCTCAGCAGAGCGGCCCCACCCCCCACTCTGCTCCCGACGCGCTGAGACCCAGGCTGCCACGCTCACCATGAAGAAGGCCCAGGCGGGAACCAGCATGGCCACGGCGGCGGCGCTTGTGTAGAACTGCAGCTCGGCCGCCCTGCGGGCACAGCACGCTGAGCCCCGGACCCGGAGCCGTGGAAGCACCGAGCCGAGCAGGCGACAGGCTCCCGGGGGACAGGGGGCTCCGGGGGGGACAGGAGGCCCGGGGGGGACAGGGGGGCCCGGGGGGACAGGAGGCCCGGGGGGGACAAGGGGCTCCGGGGGGACAGGAGGCCCCGGGGGGACAGGGGGGCCCGGGGGGACAGGAGGCCCGGGGGGACAGGAGGCCCGGGGGGACAGGAGGCCCGGGGGGACAGGGGGGCCTGGGGGGACAGGAGGCCCGGGGGGACAGGAGGCCCCGGGGGGACAGGGGGGCCCGGGGGGACAGGAGGCCCGGGGGGGACAAGGGGCTCCGGGGGGACAGGAGGCCCCGGGGGGACAGGGGGGCCCGGGGGGACAGGAGGCCCGGGGGGACAGGAGGCCCGGGGGGACAGGAGGCCCGGGGGGGACAAGGGGGTCCGAGGGGACAGGAGGCCCAGGGGGACAGGAGGCCCGGGGGGGGACAAGGGGGTCCGGGGGGACAGGAGGCCCGGGGGGACAGGAGGCCCGGGGGGACAGGAGGCCCAGGGGGACAGGAGGCCCGGGGGGGGACAAGGGGGTCCGGGGGGACAGGAGGCCCAGGGGGACAGGAGGCCCGGGGGGGACAAGGGGGTCCGGGGGGACAGGAGGCCCGGGGGGACAGGAGGCCCGGGGGGACAGGAGGCCCGGGGGGGACAAGGGGGTCCGGGGGGACAGGAGGCCCCGGAGGGGGGACAGGAGAATCGGGGGGGGACAGTAGGGTCCGGAGGGGGACAGTAGGGCCCGGGGGGGACGACAGTAGGGCCCGGGGGGGACAGTAGGGTCCGGGGGGGGACAGAGGGCCCGGGGGGGACAGTAGGGTCCCGGAGACAGGAGGGTCCGGGGGGACAGGAGGGTCTCATTGGGGACAGGAAGTTTTTTGGGGGGAGAGGAGGGTCTGGGGAGACAGGAGGGTCTTGGGGGGACAGGAGTCTTTCACGGGGACAGGAGGGCCCGGGGGGACAGGAGGGTCTGGGGGGACAGGAGGGCCCGGGGGGACAGGAAGGTCTGGGTGGACAGGAGGGTCTGGGGAGACAGGAGGGTCCAGGGGGGACAGGAGGGTCCGGGGAGACAGGAGGGTCCAGGGGGGACAGGAGGCCCCAGGGGGACAGGAGGGTCCAGGGGGGACAGGAGGGTCCAGGGGGGACAGGAGGCCCCAGGGGGACAGGAGGGTCCGGGGGGGACAGGAGGGTCTCATTGGGGACAGGAGGCCCCGGGGAGACAGGAGGTTTCAGGGGGACAGGAGGCCCCAGGGGGACAGGAGGGTCTGGGGGGACAGGAGGGTCCGGGGGGGACAGGAGGGTTCAGGGGGACAGGAGGGTCCGGGGAGACAGGAGGGTCCAGGGGGACAGGAGGGTCCAGGGGGACAGGAGGGCTGTGCCCTGAGTCACCGCCCGGCTGTGGGAGGACCGGTGGCCAGTTGGCCCCCAGGGGCAGCAGGCTCTCCTCCCGGCCCCGGCGGCCACTTCAGAGCTCCCCGCGCCTGGGCGTGGCGACACTTACGAGAACCGGTACTTGTCCCCGCTGAGCAGCTTCTTTGAGAAAACGTTCTGCAAACTGGAGCAAAGCGGGAGGCGGTTACCGTCCACGGGGGGTCGTGGGGAACGGAATGGACGAGGCGCCGGCAGCCTTCCCCAGGCGAGTGGAGCGACGGGCCAGCTCAGCCCCCCCAACTAAGAGCCCCCCCAAACCGGCACTGCCGCAGGCCGGCACCCAGGAACGGAACAGGAGCTCAGGCTCATGAACTCCGGAAGGGGACAGTCACATGGGAAACCACACACACACACCACGCACGCACGCACATGCACACACACACACACACATGCACACACACGCACACACACACACATGCACACACGCACACACACTTGGCCAAAGAGAAAGCCAGGCGGTGTCCGTCCAGGAAGGAAGTGCGTGTTCTGATTCAGGGAAAACCTGGCGAGGACAGGCGCTCTCAGTGCGGACAGGAACGCTCACGGTCAGGCCTGGACAGAACAATGGCTCTGGAGACACTGACAACCCAGACCGGAGCCAGGCACAGGAAACGGGGGGTGGGGGGGGGGGAGGTGAGGAGGACGGCCAGCAGGGTTTAGTGGCTGAGCGTCGACCTGGGAACCAGGAGGTCACGGTTCCATGGTTCCATTCCCCGTCAGGGCACATGTGGGGCGTGCAGGAGGCAGCCGGCCAGTGATTCTCATCAGTGATGTTTATTTCTCTCCCTCTCTCTTCCTCTCCGACATCAATAAAAACATATCATTAAAGGAAAAAAAGGAGTTGGAGGGAGGTTCCTGGAAAAAGACACCTCCTGTGACTTAGAAGGCTGGGGTGGGGTGGGGGTGGAGCCGCAGAATGGAGGCTGCGGGGTGTGCGATGTAAGAGGCGGTCGGTCGGTCGGTCAGTAGTGCTTCTGGGAGCCACAGAGGCAGGGCCCCGCCTCTGAGGGTTGGAGGTGGAATTAACGGTGTTCACTTTCTTAGCAAGATTCTCCAAAACCTCAAACAGCACTTTGGTGGTGACAGCGACCCTGACCCCGACCCCGACCCCCGACCCCTGCGCTGGTGTTTCCTCCTCTCTCAGCAGAAGGACAAGCTGGACGAGACTGCCGGGGCTGAGCTGCTGGCTGCCTGCGCGGCGGCCTCACCAGCACCCACGCAGGGAGGCTCCCGGACGCGGCGCGGCCTCGGGGACCCCAGCTCCCTGCACCCCGGCACGTGGCAGCCCGCCTAGCGTTCTGAAGCTCCAGCTCGTTCTTGGAGGAAGAGGCGGCATCAGACGCACCGGCCAGGCTGTGGGCCGTGGGCGGAACTGAGCTGCTCTGACGGATGCTCCGTCCCCCAGTGAGGAGTGAGCAGCCCCGGCACCCGGGTCCCCAGCTCCATCCCCCGCTCCCGGACTCACCAGTCCATGATGTTGGTGGACAGCGCGGCGGAGAAGCCCAGGATGTTGAAGCTCATCTCGGTGGCTGTGCACAGGGCCAGGCCTCCCATGACAGGGACCAGGGAGAGGTTGACCAGCAGGCCTGAGAGGAGGGCCGGCTGTGACCCTGGCTGTGACCCCAGAGCCCGGCTGTGACCCCGGCTGTGACCCCGGGGCCCGGCTGTGACCCCGGCTGTGACCCCGGGGCCCGGCTGTGACCCCGGCTGTGACCCAGGGGCCCGGCTGTGACCCCGGCTGTGACCCCAGCTGTGACCCCAGACCTGGCTGTGACCCCGGAGCCCGGCTGTGACCCCGGCTATGACCCCGGCTGTGACCCCGGCTGTGACCCTGACTGTGACCCTGGGGGTGACCTGGGGGCCCGGCTGTGACCCCGGCTGTGACCTGGGGGCCCGGCGGTGACCCCGGCTGTGGCCCCACCGCTCCTCTGGAAGCCATGCTGCTTCCTGCTCTCCCAGGAGCGTGGCTCTGCCTTCACCCAGAGCCGGCGCCCTGATCTCTGCTGGAGGGAGCACGAGGCACAAGAGCCGTCCCCGCAATGCCAGGCTCTGGGTGACCCCCAGGCTCCACAATCCTGACCGGCGAACAGGAGAGGGAGGGAGACGGGCTCCAGGGATTCTATCAAAAGGAGAAACTGGGGGGGAGGGAGGCCCTCAATGTCTGACGCCCAGAGGTTTATTCCTTTTCTTTCCGCGCTGAACCCCGGCGTGAAGGAGAGAGAGACAGTCCTCAGTACGGGGAGGACCACGCCCACGAGCAGGGACCTCAGGCTCCGCTGCTGCCGTCAGGGCAGCGTGGGCGAGGGCCGGGCCCTTCCTGCTCAGCAGAGGAGGAGGCACAGCCTCAGATCACGGCCACGGCCTCGTCCCCGGGCCCTGCTGCCCGGAGCACAGCTCTGATTCCCCAGGCAGCGCTGCCGGCCAGCAAGCCCACGGCCTGGGAACCCACGGCCACGCCCTCGTCCCCGGGCCTGTGCCCTCTGCCCGGGACTCTGCTGAGGACGGTGCGTGAACTCTGCTGGGACTGCTGAGGACTCTGCCCGGGACTCTGCTGAGGACGGTGCGTGAACCCGAGGGCTGTGCGCTGCCCTCCTTCAGGACGCCGTGTGCGTTCTGCTAATTCCACCCAGACCTCCTGTCCGTCCTCGGAGCCGCCGCTGCAGCGGGCGGGGCGCTCACCTGTGTACTCCCCCAGGATCATGCGGGACATGATCACGGTGAAGATGGGGGCGGAGCTCTTCACCGTCTCGGCGAAGGACACCGCCACGTTCTTGAGGCTGACCAGGCCCAGCACCACCGTGGCGAACCTGGGGAGAAGCCGGAGGGCGGTCGGACGGGCGAGTCCCGGTGGCTCTCGGCCACACCTGCCCCGCACGCTCCGCTGGGTCCGGCTCAGGAGGCGACGCGCCTGCAGGGACCGCGGTGGCCGGAGCGCGGGCCCCGCAGGAGGCCCCTCGCCCTGACCCACGACTGACCCAGTGCAGCCGCTCCAGGCGGGACCGCCGGGCACCGAGGCCCACGGCCAGGGTCAGTGCTGCCCCGAAATGCAGGCCTGCACGGAACTCACCTGACCACAAGGTGCCGTCACTCGGCTGCCCGCTCGCTCTCAGTGACGGGAAAGGCATTTTATTTTATTTTGTTTGTTCTGTTAAACCTGTTATTAATTTTTTTGAGAGAGAGAGAGAGGAAGCGAGAGGGATAGGAAGATAGAACCATCCATGCGAGAGTAACACCACTGATAGGCTGCCTCCTGCACACTCCCCACGGGGCTGGATCCTGCAGCCTGGGCTGTGCCCTGAGCGGATCGGAGGCGGCCTCTTGGTTCCTGGGTTGACCTCAACCGCTGAGCTACACCAGCCAGATGGTAAGGCTTTTACTTTAGTTATTTTATTTTTAAAGTATCTTTACGTTTAATCCTCACCTGAGGATATTTCCCATTGGTTTGTAGGGAGATAGAAGAGAGGGGAAAACAGAGAGAAGCACATCGATTGGTTGCCTCCTGCCCACGCCCTGACCAGGTGCCCTTGACAGGAATCCAAACCGGACCCTTTGGTCCACAGGCGGAAGCTCTGCCCACTGAGCCACACCGGGAGAAAGGGAAGGCATTTCACATAACGCCCGCACCCGACGCCGGCCTCACCTCATGAGGCCCACGAACAGCATGGTCATGAGGAAGTTGGGCGGGTAGGCGAGCCGGACCTTGTGCTGGTGCAGGCAGCAGGGCACGAAGATCTTCAGGCAGCCGATGCACGTGGTGGACAGCATCTGCACGGCGCCTGGGGGGAGTGATGAGCTGCAGCCAGGGCCCCACCCATCCACCTGTGCCCTCACCCAGCCCCGTGCCCGCCCTCACCCAGCCTCCTGCCCGCCCTCACCCGGCCATGCCCGCCCTCACCCGGCCCCGTGCCCGCCCTCACCCGGCTCCATGCCCGGCCTCACCCGGCCCCGTGCCCGCCCTCACCCGGCCATGCCCGCCCTCACCCGGCCCCGTGCCCGCCCTCACCCGACCCCGTGCCCGCCCTCACCCGGCCCCGTGCCCGGCCTCACCCGGCCCCGTGCCCGCCCTCACCCGGCCCCGTGCCCGCCCTCACCCGGCCCCGTGCCCGCCCTCACCCGGCTCCGTGCCCGCCCTCACCCGGCCGTGCCCGCCCTCACCCAGCTCCGTGCCCGCCCTCACCCAGCCCCGTGCCCGGCCTCACCCGGCCCCGTGCCCGGCCTCACCCGGCCCCGTGCCCACCCTCACCCGGCCCCGTGCCCGCCCTCACCCAGCTCCGTGCCCGGCCTCACCCGGCCGTGCCCGCCCTCACCCAGCCCCGTGCCCGCCCTCACCCGGCCGTGCCCGCCCTCACCCGGCCCCGTGCCCGGCCTCACCCAGCTCCGTGCCCGCCCTCACCCGGCCCCGTGCCCGGCCTCACCCAGCTCCGTGCCCGGCCTCACCCGGCCGTGCCCGCCCTCACCCGGCCCCGTGCCCGCCCTCACCCAGCTCCATGCCCGGCCTCACCCGGCCGTGCCCGCCCTCACCCAGCCCCGTGCCCGCCCTCACCCGGCCGTGCCCGCCTTCACCCAGCTCCGTGCCCGCCCTCACCCAGCCCCGTGCCCGCCCTCACCCGGCCGTGCCCGCCCTCACCCAGCTCCGTGCCCGCCCTCACCCGGCCCCGTGCCCGCCCTCACCCGGCCGTGCCCGCCCTCACCCGGCCGTGCCCCCCTCACCCAGCATGCTGGGCTCGCCCTCCAGCAGCGAGAGGATGTACTTGTTGAGGAAGAGGGTGCAGAAGCTGAGGAAGAACCAGAGCGTGAGGTAGAGCAGCGCCCGCGAGCTGCACACGCCCAGGTCGGCCTCGATGACCGTGGTCTCGGTGATGGTGACGGTGAGCACGCCCTCCTCGGTGGTGCCGGCGCTCCTGGCCAAAAGGATCCTCTCACTCCGGGGGCCGAGCAGGGAGCCCCAGCCGAGGGCCGGCTTCCCCCTCGGCAGCTCCTGGGGGCAGGGGGCCGGCTCCGCGGGCTTGGCCGGCGCCGCCATGGTGTCCCCGCGGCGTCCTTAGGCGGAAGGACCCACGCGGTGGCCTGGGGTTCGAGGCCGCCTCGTCTGGACAGCGGGCACGGGGCTGCTGCGGCCGTGTCCGCCCCCACAAGCTTTCATCTCAGGCGAACCTGCAAGCAGGGGTGCGCTCATGTCCAGATCCCGTGTCTCCCAAACCCAACCTCCAACAGCCCGCCCGCCTCAAGGCCCAAGCCCAGGCCCGGCTCCACGCCCGGCTGCTCAGGCCCAGGCCCAGGCCCGGCTCCGAGCATGGCTGCTCAGGCAAGATCCAGAGTCTCCCTGCCGTGGCTCCGGGATCCCTGGCCCTGGAGACCCACCGGCTGCTGCTCTGCGGCCGCCCAGCTGGGCCCAGGCCTGGTCGGCAAATCCTGACTTGGAGGCCTGGACAGCACTGGGGCGGGGAGAGGGGGTACACAGAGGGGGAGAGGGGATGCACAGGCCCTTCCTCCCTCACACAACAAGCTGCAGTTACACTCCGTGTCCGGAACTCGGGCAGGGAGGCGCGCAGAGGGCGGTGGCCGCACTTCTCGGTACGTCTGACCAGCCCGCGCCCCACTCCCCGCACCCGCCCTGCTCCCCAAACTGTGGGCGCCTGCTCCCCCAACCCGGTGCCTCGCTGACCAGGGCCCACTGCCGCGGGCTGCATGCCCCTCCTCCACGTACGGCAGCCATTGGTTCCCGAGGGGCCCAGTCACACCGGACCGGACCGGAACCGCCTTTCCCATCCCTGCGAGCAGAGCCAGGCCCAGTGAGCCCAGGACGGCCTCACCCCGTCACTCTCCGTGACACTGGAGCCCCGCAAACAGCCCGCCTGCCTCTGGGACCGTTCTTCCCGGCAGCGAGGGAACAGCCCCCGAGTCCGCACGGCTCCCGCTGTCATCCAGGCGCCTGGGAGGACAGCGAGGCTCAGAACGTCTCTCAGCCGAGCGTGGACGCTACTCGGGTCCTCGCTCCTCCACCACCCGAAGAGCCTCCTGCCGCGGCGTTTTCCCCGGAATAAACCGCCGGGCAGGGATGAGGCGAGGAGCCCGCGGAGGGGGGACCCTCCAGGGCCCAAACCAGGAGGAACTTAGCGCAGACTCGCCTGTGAGATGGCGAGATCAGAGAGGTGGCCCCGCCGTGACCCACCCCCAGCCCCCCGACTAGAGACCAGAACCTTCTGTGGGCGATTGAATAGCCTCAGGCTCCTGGCCACCCTCCACCCCACACAGCGGAGGGCGGGAGCAGACTGGGGGGGGGGGGCAGCTTCGGGCCACACCCCACACGGCTGCCAAGCCTCAGCAGAGGCCCCCCCCCCCCACCTGCCAAGGGCTGGCACAGGTGAGGCCTGAGGGCCTCTGCCGATGAAGATCAAAGATCCCAGCTCACCCACGGAGGGCCCAGGGGGGAGGAACCGTCGGAGCTCAGAGAGGGACAGAGCCAAGGACGCAGGCCCCTCCGCTCCGAGGGGGCCAGGCCACCGGGGGGAGGTGGGGGGGAGATGGGGGGGCAGAAGCCACGGAAATGCCCGGGACGGAGGCGGGGCGTCTGAAGGTGAAACAGCCGCTGAGACAAACCTGGGTGCTCTGGGCGGACCGTCTCCCGGGACGTCCCCTGTTACTGGGGGGGGGCGGGGGGCACTCTGTCCTCAGAGAGTGGCCGCAGTCACCAGCGGTGCCAGACAGGCCTCCCGCTGACTGATCTGACGCTGTCGCCAGGAAAACCTGCGTCTGCTGTGGCCGAGCCCAGAGCCGGAGGGGACCGGGGACGCGGTCCCGCAGCCCCTGTGGGGTCCCCGCAGGGCCAGAGGCCGGAGAGGGAGCGGAGAGGGCGCCACGGCAACGCAAGGAGCACCGCGGGGAACGAGCCTCAGAATCACTCGTCCTGAGTGATGCGACAGAAACCCCCGCGGAGACGCAGGAGGAAACGGCGGGACATGGGGGGGCGAGAACCCCCAGGTCTGCAGCTTCAGGGTCCCGGGTTCGATTCCGTCAAGGGCACGTACCTCAGCTGCAGGCTCCTCCCCTGGTCAGGGCACGTGCGGGAGGCAGCCAATCGATGTGTCTCTCTCACCTCGACGTTTCCCTCTGTCTCTCCTTCTCTCCCCCCCTCTCCCTAAAAACCAATGGAGACATGTCCTCGGGTGCGGATTAACAAAAGTATCACCACAGATGCCGAAACTGCCAGATGGAAACCCTATATAACAACAGGCCAGCATGCACACTGTCTGAACAGACTCCGGACCAGACTGGGAGTTCAGCCAGGCGGCGGGGCTGGCCAGCCAACCGCTCCGACCCGATCAGCTCCCCCCATCAGCCCCTCATCCTGATCAGGAGGCCGAACCACACCGGGCCTCCAGTTGAGAAATAACAGGAATGTTTAGTCTCAAAGTACAGCCCTGCCAGGTGGACACAGAGTACACAGGAAAGAGAGATAAGGACGCTTCCCTCGGGGAGGTGGGAGGAGGGCTGCCCACGGAGACCTGGGACTGGACTTCCTGGTCACAGGACACGCTGTGCAGAGGCAGACAGAGACCGCAGGGGCCCTGGCCGGGCGGCCCAACCGGCTGGAGCTCGTCCTGCACCGAGCTCGTCCTGCACTCATTCTCAGTGCGGGCGCACCCGGCCTGCGGGTCCCACAATCTCTGGTGCTCGGAGAACGATCACCGGCCCAGAAAACAAATAAGTTGGATCCTGACACCCAGGGAGACGCAGGAGGCTCCTGTGGAATGCCCCCTGTGGACCCGAAGGGCAGGCCAGGGGCACCTCCGTGCCAGCACCAGGGGCATCGCCCACGCAGGGAGGCCTGAAGGAATGGCCACTGGCCCCGCGAAGACTCCGTTCCTCAGAACACAGCACAGCCCCAGCGTGACAGGACTCACCCACAGACAGCGCCACGGCAAACACGGCAAACACGGTGTCACACGGAGGATCTCTGAGTGGCCAATAAGCACAAGAAATGGTGTGTAGCTGGGCCAGGTGGCTCAGTGGTTGAGCATCAACCCAGGAATCAAGAGGTCATGGTTCGATTCCCGGGTTACGGGCTTGACCCCCAGTGTGAGGTGTGCAGGAGGCAGCTGGTCCATGATTCTCTCTCATCGTTGATGTTTCTCTCTCCCTCTCCCTTCCTCTCTGACATCAATAAAAACATTAAAAAGAAAGAAAGGGAGTGTAGCGCTGGCCAGGTGGCTCAGTTGGTTAGAGCGCCAAACCTTTAAGCCTTGGCTGCAGGTTCAATCCCTGGTCAGGGCACATACAAGAAGCAGCCAATGACTGTTTAAATAAATGGGACAAATCAATGCTTCTCTCTCCCCCTTCTCTAACCAATAAATGTTTAAAAATCATACATTCGAGGTTGACATGAGGTAAACATCTGCAGACCTTACAAACCAGCAGTTCCAGCGAGAGACACAGGATCTCCTCCCTCACCCCCAAACCTAGCTGTCTGCGGGGAGCGCGAGCGTGTGCATGGTGGGGCTTTCACACAACCCAACACTGGGCAGCAGGAAGGAGGAGTAACTAAGGAACACACAGGAACACACATACACACACGCACGCACACACACGCGGAGCTGAGCGGATGGTGGGTGATTGGCGACATCAAGGTTATCATGGGCAATCAGCCTGGAGCGTTTAAATCTCGAACAGAATGAGACGGGCCTCGGGGACACAGCGACACCCTCCAGTGGGCGCTGTGCTGGGCGTCACGCGGGAAGGCGGGGAGGAGCGGGGTCAGGGCCCTACTTACCGGTGCTGCCGCCCTCACAGCTGCCTCCCGGCTCCAGCCCACGTAACTGGCGTCTCTCAGGGAGGAACGGTCCCCGCCCTGCAAGACAAAAGCAACCTTAGCTGACAGGGGAAAGGGACTTTAAGATGCGACAGCCGCCCTGGCCAGGGCGGCTCAGTGAACAGAGCGGCGGCCTGCGGACTAAAGGGTCCTGGGTTCGATTCCCGGTCAAGGACACTTGCTGGGGTGGCGGGCTCCATCCCCAGTAGGGGGTGTGCAGGAGGCAGCCGATCCATGATTCCCTCTCATCATGGATATTTCTAGCTGTCTCTCCCTCTCTGAAATCAATAAAAATATATTAAAACACAAACAAAAAGCCAGCCTGACTCACTGAGCCTGCCTGGGAACCTGGTGGAGTGTGCTGGACCTGGGCGCCTGGAGCGCTGGCCACCCCACCCAGGTCCCAGTGACAAAGGTCAGAATTCCCTCCCTCCCGGGCGACAGCACAAATGACAGGGACTGAACACAGGCGTCGCCCAGCGAGGAGCCGGTGGTGAGGAGGCTGTGCCAGGGTGGGTGGCTCTTCGCCTTCCTCCTCCTGCACCCACCCTCGGAGGCGCCCAGGCAGGACAGGGAGGGAAGAGGGCCACTGGAAGGGGACATTGCCCGGAACCCTTCAGTGCTGTCTGCTTGACCTTCAGGGTCTGCACCCAATGAGGTGGCCTCGGGGCTCAGCCTCCCCTGAGCCTGCAGGGAGGGGGGCTCGAACCCAGAGACATCGCCCCGCGCTGTGGTCCCGTCCTGGCACGCTCATCGCCGAAGGGAAGTTTAGCTGGAGCCAGCCAGTCCCCCAAATTTCCCAAACCCCTCCAGGCGAGGGCCAGTGGCCCGAGGGAAGGTGTCTGCTCTAGAACAAACGGCTCAGGCCCTCACCACGGATGTTACAGAATCGTACCCCAGAGCGAGACCTGCCTACCGTTCCTCACCAACGTCACCCCAATAAACCCAACGACAAAAAGAACCCACAAGATGCCCATCGCCAGGGGGGGCCCCGGACCGGCTCCGACTGTCACAGGGCGTTCTAGAGTGCACCGGCTGCCGCGGACTCTGCCCGCTGCATTGCAGGAAGTGGGCCTCTGGAACCGCGTCCTAAACAGACCGCCCCATGCAGGCCCACACCGGCCCAAACAGCTCCGCTTCCCAGCCGGAACCCTGGGCGCCACCCAGGAAGGCATTGAGGAAACCCTGGCAGGCTGGCACAGGCCGCCCACAGGGGAGGGAGGCAGGCCATGGCGCTCTGTACCCGCGGCTCCCATCGGGCACAATCACCAACTCTGTGGGAAGGTGGGAGCGAGATATGCTGATTTCCATCCCCCCATACACTTCCCTCCCTTTTCCAAGGTCT